CAATTTCTTGAACATGAATAGACAGACAACAAGGCACTTCTGGTTCAACAAATTTGAAATCCTTGGAATCATTATGTTGACATTACTACAAACAAAAATCAGAAGTTCAGAAAATGTAAGTCAAAACTGCATACTTCTTCAAATTGTTCCTTACATGTACAGTTGTCTTCAATTTCTTCAAAACAAGATATACCAGGTTAGGCATGCTATTGAGTAAGTGTAGTAGATGTTTCCAGCCACAGCAATTGTCAACATTCAGCTCCAAACGAATCAAATTAGAAAATAAAGGCAGTTCATCATCATCAGCATAGTCGAAAGCCTTAGTAAGATACGAACATAATGAGAGATCTATATATAAGAGAATCAAAAAAATTAACACTCAGAAAGAGCTTACCTCCATGGTACGAGCACCTAGAGATAGATGTTTGACACTAAAAAGATTTCTGAGAAGCACAAATACACGATCAGCATATTGTTTGCTTGCCAAAATATCTTCATCCCAGTAGTCTCCAACATTAACATCTGCTTTAACCAAACAGGTTAGGTTCTTTATCACATAGGTAGGCAACCAATAATCTTGGACAAAAAGATACTCAAGTATTGGCGCATTAACCACAATTTCATCCCAACTATCTTCATACTCCTCTATATGAAAATCTAACTTCAACCTCTTCAGAGCAGGCGTGGAGATATCAAAAAATAGTCTTTCACCACCCGGAACAGCTCCTTCGATAATGAGATCTTCAAGAACAGGGCAGTTACGAAAGAGATTTCGCGTCAAGTCGTTGTTCGGAGGACCAATTGAAATATGGAGTACCTTGAGACTTTTAAAATGTACTGAGCAAGGAACACTGAAACGTACTAGATGTCCCACTTTTAAGACTACCAATGTTGGGCAAGTGAAGAGGCATAAAGGTAAGTAAATTTTTTCTGGAGCATCAATGGTTAGATCAAGTTCTTGAATACCACGCTTTATGGCTACACCTATCCATGTATATGTTCTAGATAATTCTGAGTCTTCGTCTCCATCACAGTATAAACGGAGCTTTTGAATGCTAACAATTCATGATTGAACAATACTCGTTCAACAAAGTTCAAGAAGTTGGAAGAACTCACATCAGAATTAGGCTCGACTGGTTCAAATCGCAATTTGCTGTCGAAGTCTAGAATGGGAACAGAAGCCCAGAGGTGCTTCCATCTTGACGACAGTATGCTTGTTCCAACGGCATATTTTGTTGGAAGGAAAGAGAGGATGTGAATAAGAAGTGACTCTGGCAAGCTACTGATCCAATCATTCTTGTTGAGAATTTTTTGCACTTTGTTTGCAGGATCCTGATTGTTTGAGATTGAAGCCATGGTTCTATAATATAACTAGTAAAATATAAAATGGTTGGTATTCCTGCTTCCAACACTTGGTAATTGGGCTTTCTCTTCTGCTAATTCATCATATTTTATGCATGTGATTTTGGATGATTGGTCATCTTGCTTCAAACACTTCCTCTTCCCGAAATAGCAACTGTTCATTTCAAATGAATCATGACTCAGCCAGCCAATTATTTATGATATTGTAAAGATGTCACATGAGTGGATAGGGCTGCAAATAAACCGAGCAGAGCCAAGCCGAGCTTTGTGCTGTTTAGGCTCCACTCACTAGGTTAAAAGGGGTGTTCAAGCTTGTCGCGCTTCCATAAGATCAGAAGTATTCATTGGAGTCCAAGTCCACCTGTTGTTATGACTAGCACAACTAACTCCTCCATATATCATTTAACTATTTTCAGGATCTAAAATACGAGAAAAACTTTATTGCGCCCATTGCACGGTGCAACTGGCGAATCCAACCATTCATACACGGCGTGTGTAATACATGTGTGGGATATTTACTACATCAACGATGAGGATTCGCCCATTGCACGGTGCAATGGGCGTAATAAAGTTTTTCTCCTAAAATACGCTAATTATCATAAGATTTATAACATAAAAGTTTGGCCTTGTTTATTCCAGGGTTGTCATATCTTTCTCTAGGACCAAATACAATCACAAGGAATTGGATTTGATCAAATGCTATATTGTTTGATCTAACGTTTATAAATCCAATCCACCCATTATACAGAGTAAATTTATTTTTGTTGCAATCACCAAAGAATGTCGTTATAACTTTCTTCTAAAAACGCATTACAAATATTCACATAATTCCCATTTTCTTTCTTGTGCAACCTCAACACGTAACAAAACACACATAAAATAGACATTATGAGCTTGTTGAAATTTTGAAATAGCCCTTATAAAATAGAAATATGCTCAGATGTGAACAATTAATTCTATACTGCAAATTGAAATTTTGAAATTTTTTTTAAGGGTAAAGTGGGAAAAACACTCCTATTGTTTATAAATTGGGCAATAACATCTCATCCTTTATGTTGTGTATATAAGTTCATTAAAAGTTCAAAGAAATGAACAAAGGGCTTATATTGTGTATATAAGTCCATTAAATTTGAAAAAATGAGCAAAGAATGACTTAAAGTCACTGTTAAGATATAAAATTTCAAAAACGCCCATTTCTCTTTCGATAATACCCTTATAATTATTTCCCTTTTATATATATATATACGCACACAGAGTATACCGACACCAAACAAGGGACACTTTTTTAATGTTAACTATTAGTTCTCTACACTAAAATAGACATTAGGCTCTTGTTGAAGAAGACGTTCAATGCAACAAAAAAAAAAATTAAAATAAAAATTCATCAAACTATACACAGGTGATGATCAGCAGATTTCTTATCCTAAATCTATCCACATCGTATGTGAACAATATACACTCACATATAAATCTATATATATATTCGCAAATGTATGTAGATCTTCATACCTTTCGAAGTGGAGAAGATATTCTTCTGATGCAGATTATAGCAAGCATCTTCAACCATCTTCTATCCCCATTAAAGCTTCAACCTTACTGTGTGGGCATCTTAGAGAGGTAGGGTTTCCAAGGATTTCATATTCATGGGCCAATATGCATAACATACACATTATATATGGGCTTTACAATATATTTATTGTCTGGGCAAGTAATGGGCTTTATATATTACTAATTGAAAATGTCTATTTACTGGCCTTTTAGTTTGGTCCTGATTGTTTTAAACATATAATAAACTGAAATAATATTAAAACAATCAATCCTAGCTTAAAATTATCTATATCTGTACCATTATTAAAAATATAATAAGTTTCAGATATTTTTATATTTATAATGCATTTATTTTTATACCATAAGATAAATTCTTGTGCAAAGTATCTGCTTTAAAATTAGTAATATAAAACTTATGTCTATAATAAAATATAAAACTAGTAATATCTTTTTTTTTAGTTGATATTTACACATGCATGCCTACACTGAGACTCGAACTCTTGACCTCCCTTTGAAAAGTAAAGGCTTGATACTATTAGACTATTGGACTGTTGGTAAACTAGTAATATCAATTTAAAAGATTAACCAATCTCTTAAATGTAAAACTTATGTATGTAATAAATTAAGTTCTATAATAGTCAATGACTCAATATGTTGCAATGCTTTAATTTGTCACAGCGTATCGCTATTTTCTTATCTTTTTAAAGTAAAAAGTTGAAGGGGTTCTTATCTTTTTAAAATAAAAAGTTGAAGGTTCAAGTTGTTGTAAAGGCAAAGTGGTTATACGAATTTCTAACTTGGGTTAAAAAAAAAATTTAAAAGAATTAACCATCCCACATGCACCCGGTCTTCCTTGGATTTCAGGGATTCAATGATTGCTGTCTTTATGTGCTGCTTTACATTTTAACTAAAAATCTGGTTCCATATGAAAAGGGGGTCTTTGTTAGTGGTGATGTTTGTGTTTATCTTATGCCAATTTATGCAGTAGACATTTATACATTTTCAATTATATTTTTGCTTCATTAAACACCTAAAAGATATGTTTGTGGGAGCTGTACAAGTTTGTCTCAGCCTCTCTTTCATTTTCATGTTTCTTGTCACCCATTTTCTTGAACAAGATCTAATTGCAAAGACGTGAAACCTTTAGACATTTTCTTGTGCATTCCTTCTGACCTCCCTTATCAGAGATTGTTGTTGTCCATGTGAGTGGATCAGGTGCAGTACAACACAAGTGTTATATACTGTATTCGAGCCAAACTCGTCATAAATGTTTCCAATTTGGATGAGTTCTTAGAGCTTTCTTTTTTCCCAGATGAAATAGTGTAGACTGTTTCTCAACCCTTTTATACGATCTAAAAAGAACCAAATCCACCAACTCAAGAGAAGAAAGACAACAGGCTTTACAAACAATAAGCACCATAGAAAAGAGTAAAAGATGATGAATAAAAAAGAAGATGATGATGGCTATTATAAATAATGCTCAATATTGACACCAAATAATACTCAATTGATTGGATTGAAAATTGCATTTAAATCCCAAGTGCTAATGAATAACTTGGTAGCGGAGCATTTTCAAGCAATATCATTTGTAGATGAAGTGTGCAAAGAATGATTGAATAGTAAACCCTAAAGAATAGAAATAACTGGAGATCTATGGTTGAAACAAAACCAATTCCATTCACTGCCATTGATACTTTAAGTTTTTTTTGTATAAAATGTAGTGGATAAACTAACTAGATTGATCGGTCAAGACCATGAAATTACAATACAAAATGCTTCAGTTGACGGGCCTCTGATAAACTTTGACACGTTGAATTTTGAATTTACATTACAAAATTAAAAAACCTACCAAATCGGAACGGTTGAAGAGACATTGTACACATGTAAACTATTGATCATCGCAGCTCAAAGGAGCATAGTAACACAAACTCCCATTACATAGAATAAAGTACATGATACAACTACATATATGACATTGACAAAAGAAAGGGAAAATGATAGATTATAGCGGGAGAGTACTTGCCAATTTGATACAGAAGTAGATATGTGGGATGGTCTAATGTTCAAGAAAGTCTCTGAACGCGAACAGTTTATCGAGAAACTCCCTTTCTTGATGTTGTTCTGGAATTACAGGAGTTAATTGTCATCTTTCGCAATACTTTAGCATTTCTCAAAAAATACTCTATCAGCTTCTGCTCCAGCTCACAACTCTGCCCCTGAAATCCGGTAATTTCAATTTCTTGAACATGAATAGACAGACAACAAGGCACCACTTCTGGTTCAACAAATTTGAAATCCTTGGAATCATTATGTTGACACTGCTACAAACAAAAATCAGAAGTTTAGAAAATGTAAATCAAAACTGAAAAAAAGAAAAAAGAAAAAATGCATACTTCAAATTGTTCCTTACATGTTTATTTATCTTCAATTTCTTCAAAACAAGATATTCCAGGCTAGGCATGCTTTTGAGCAAGTGTAATAGACGTTTCCAGCCATAGCAATTTTCAACATTCAGCTCCAAACGAATCAAATTAGAAAATAAAGGCAGTTCACCGTCATCAGCATAGTCGAAAGCCTTAATAAGATATGAACATAATGAGAGTTCTATATATAGGAGAATCCAAAAAATTAACACTCAGAAAGAGCTTAGCCCCATGGTACGAGCGCCTAGAGATAGATGTTTGACACTGAAAATATTTCTGAGAAACACAAATACACGATTAGCACATTGTTTGTTTGCCCAAGTACCTCCTCTCCAGCAGTCTTCGACACTCCAGCAGTCTCCAACATTAACATATGCTTTAACCAATGAGGTTAGGTTCTTTAGCACATAGGAAGGCAAGCAATAATCTCGGATAAAAAGATACTCAAGTATTGGCACATTGACCATAATTTCGTGCATACCATCTTGTAATACCCCTAATTTAAAAAGGATAGTCCTGGTATTTAATTTTTTTTTTCAATTTGTGTTTTAATTGACTTGTTTTTGAATTATTTGACGTACTTGACTTATTTGTATTATTTAAATTAATTCTTTGGTTTACTTGTTTTCTTTGATTTATTAAATTGTTGAATTCTTAAATTTATTTAGCTTACATTAAGTGTTGTATCTTTGTGACTGATTTTTGTTACCTGTTTAATTGCTTAAATTGTTTTATTTAATTTTGTTGATATATTTGTAATTGGTTTAATTATTTTAGAGGCAACTTAACTGTTTTTAATTATTAGGGTTTTTGTTAATTTCATCGTGTTTTATTCTGAGCCGACCTGTAGGTGGTTTAGGATTAAGGTTAGGGTTTCAACTTAAGCCTAAAAATACATATGTTTACGTCTGCTAAGGGGTTTTTGTAAACCCTATTCACCATAGTCACGTATACAGTGATACAGAGGGTTGTGAGGGCAGAGAAACAGTGAGTGAGTAATTTACAGAGAGGGCTTAGGAAGGCAGAGGAAGGGAAACTAAAACTCAGAGACGTGGGTTCAGTGTTTCAACTTTGAAACTTAAGGCAAGTCTTGTTCTTCTCTATCTCTTTAATCTGTGTTCTGTGCGTGTTTAGGAAGACTCCAGGAATTAAAATAAGGCTTAACTATAACCTCTATGCATGTTTAATTAATGTTCCAATTCATGGAATAAACCTGTTCTTGGTTGTTTTAACAAGATAGAAATAAAAACTGAAACTTTGTAACCTTGCTCCATTGAGTAACAGTTTGTTTTCCAATTCAAGTTTTGATTAAATATCATTGTATATCCTTGTTTTATAATCAATCTGGAGTTGGAATAGACCTTAAAAACATGTAATAAAATACCATAGAGGACCGGTACTCACAGGAATCAGAGAAGAAGATGAAACGGACGAAACTGCTAAGGGGAAAGGGGAGCAGGCTCTGAGAAACCCTTAGAGCCGGCTCCTAAAAGGTAGAGCCAGCTCTAGGATGTTATGGAGACGGCTCTAATAAGCCTAGAGCCGGCTCTGAAGAAAAGAAAGAGCAGGCTCTTTTAATTTCTAGAGCCTGCTCTCTCTGAAAAGGTCCAGAAACTGTGTTTTGGGGTTCGTTTGGCTGAAATTGAATTTTTTGGAACTGATTTGAAGCTACTGAATGTTGTAAATATGTGTATGAGACTTATAATAATGTTAAAAAGCAAGTTCACATTCAGTTATTGAGGATAGGAATTAATTTAAGGTCAAATAGAGGGCTCGTAGGTGAATGGTTAAATATTTACATTACGCTGCTTACTATTTTAGCAATTAGTTTTATTGCATGATCTTAAATTATGAATCATATTGTTAGCTATGTTAAGAGCATATGACTGTTAAAATATATGTGTTCTTAGCTGGAATTAACTGATGTTTACAAATTAACATACCAGCATCAGTTATAGTATTATATGGAGAAATAAATTGTATAATCTTGATTTGTCAATTTAAAGGATTGGAACTGGGATTCTAAAATTGTTATTGGAGGCACAATTTAGTTATACACATGTTAAACTATATTTATGCAAATTTTAGTGTATAATTGATTAGTATCTGATACTGTTCTCATCAACTGGGATATCTAAATGTTATATTGGATGCATATATTGGTTGTGTACATGCTAAACTATATTTATGTTTATTCTGGGATGTGGTTAATAAGTAATTATACTGTGTTATTAACTGCAGAAACTGGAGGATAGTATGCGCCGGTATGGGACGGTGTCATACTAGGTACGGATTAGTTCAGACACTAAGCCTACTTAAATTTGGATTAAGGTATGGATTAATCATAAAAGATTAAGTCCATCACCAACATAGGTCATATCAATTGTGAATTGAATGATTCACTATGGTTTCAGGATGGATTTGTTATACATATATCAGACCACTACACAGATGGATGGTATTATGTATTAGGAGGAGTACGGACTTTATATATATATTATATAGTGCCGTGGTATGAGCTTGAGTCTCATGACCATGGTTAGGGGGCGTATATCGCCTAGGATGAACAACTGGACATAGATGTTGTTCCCTGGTAGGTCTAGGTACTCATGCCCACCTTAGGGTGCGTATTTGCATGTTGCCTTCTATTCAGGCTGAGACAAACCTACTGGACTAGCGAGCGTCCTATAGTGTGTACTATATACATATATGGACTACTCTAGATATTGTTGAGTCTTCCTAAGATGTATCTACGTATCGGATTACTGTTTGGATTGTAGTAGATCAGGACTTGCATGTGGGCCTGACCCACTTCTTTATTTTTCAGGTGCTCATCTGTTCCAGGGTTAGAGTTTGGACGTGCAGAGCAGATACAGCTATTCATTCCTCCGATTATGTAGAAATCTTCTCTATGTTAAGGTTTGGATTTTATTATTATTATTATTTCAGTATCTTTTGGAGAATTTTTAATAAGGGGTCCAATGGATGGATTTCCGAGTTGTAAACCTATAGAGTTTGGGATTTAACAGTTTTCAATAATTATATTGTTTTAAGGATTTTCAATTAGCATTCGTTCAGCTTATTATTTTTAATTCTTATTTTACCTTGTATTCTGTGTTCAATTACATATTAATTGTTTGATATCCCTCGGGTTTTGGGCCTGGGCCTGATCAACCCGTGTCTCGGATCCGAGAGGTATCACAGTTGGTATCAGAGCACTCCAGGTTCAAATGTCTTTAGGATTCTATCGTATAAGACTTCCGCGTAGCGTTCTCTATTGTTTAGAGCTTAAGTTTAGGATTCATTGTATTCTTTACGGTTCGTTTAAACTCGTACTGATGTCTGTCTTTCTATGTTAACAGCATGGTTAACACTGGAAGAGGACAGAACATGAACAGTTGACAGAGGAGAGCGGCACGTAGACAGCAGGAACGTCTACAACGTCGGCAAATGGAAGAAGAGCAGCAAATGCCAGGGTTTCAGGAGGAGCAGGAGGAAGTTCAACAGACTTAGGGTCGGGACAGAGATCCAGAGATTCCTCCACACCTCAATGACCTCGTTGCTCGGGCTATAGAAGCTAGGGTAACAGCTGCACTTCGGAATCAGCCTCAGGTACAGCCGGCACCGCTACCAGTACCAGTGGTTCAGACGGATTCTTGGGGAAAGGCTAGGAGCTCTTTCACAAATGGGAGTCCACCTGTGTTCTTAGGCTCAACCAATGCGAGAGCAGCTCACCAGTGGAAACAGGACATTGAGCGTCATCTTCGTTTGGTTCAGTGCACGGAGGTGCAGAAGCAAATGCTTGCTACCTTCAAGCTGGTTGGGGATGCACTACAGTGGTGGGAGTCAGTTACCACCCCAGAGGAGAGGATGACATTGACTTATGATGAGTTCAGTGTTCGCTTTGACGAGAAATATTTTCCCTATGCGGTCAGGGCAGTTATGAAGACCGAGTTTCTAAGTCTGCAGCAGGGAAACATGACAGTGGCGAAGTATGAGCAGCAGTTCACACGCTTGTCTCTCTTTGCACCGGATGAGGTGGATACAGAGGAGAAGAAGCGTACCAGTTTCGTCAAGGGACTGATGTGGTCTATCAAGAGAGCTATTACAGGTAGTCCAGCCTATACTACCTATGCTCAAGTGGTAGACGCCGCTCTATAACAGTATCAGTTGACTGTGGACATCAAACAGGCTCGTGGTGAGAAGCGGGGTGATAAAGACTCTACTAATCAGTCAGCTGTAAAGAGGAATGTCAATGGTCACCGGTAGAATGACAAAGGCAAGTTCCAGGGACAACAACCTTGGAAGAAGCACAAGGGTGGTTCAGATGCTCATCGGAATGGGGCACCTATTCAGAGGCAACAGAATGGAGGACCACAGGCAGGATAGGGTCAGCCACATGCTAACCGACAGAGGAGGCCATTTGGTACTTTCCAGGGTAGTTGTTACACTTGTGGAGAGTATGGTCATACCACCAGGCAGTGTCCTAAAGCAGGACAGGGACAGGGACAGGGACAGTATGTGTAGCAGGGACAGAGGGTGTCAGTGCCTCTACCAACTCCACAGGTTCCACGGATTCAGGGACAGACACATCTGGCTTTACCGGCACCGCCGCAGACTCAGGGACCGGCACCACAGCAGTTGCACTATGGCAGGGTGTATAACCCCATGCCACAGGATGTTCCGGCACCTTAGACTATTGAGGGTAAGTTTCCTATTCATGGTTTGCATGGACGTGTTTTATTTGATACGGGTGCTACACATTCATTTGTAGCTAGGACTTTTGTTACTTTATCTGGGATGAGGACGAGGGTATGCACTAGACCTCAGGGTATTTCTACACCATTGGGTGATACAGCTATTATACATGAGAGTGATGGGCCTGTGACACTAGATATTGGCAGACTCAGATTTCTAGCCAATCTATTGGTCCAGGACATGCACACTTATGATGTGATACTTGAGATGGATTGGTTGTCTCACTACCATGCCCAAGTTGATTGTTTTGATAGATATATTATTTTTACCATACCTGGTCAGGATATGTATGTAGTAGCTATGCCACGTTCTAAAGGGGGCGGTAGCACCTATTTGTTCCATGTGGAAGAGGAAAATGAGAAGGGGATTACTGTGCCATTAGATAATATACCGATTGTACAGGATTTCCCGGATGTATTTCAGGAGATTCCAGGGTTGCCACCTAGTCGCGAGATCGATTTGTGATAGACTTAGCTCCAGGCACTACGCCTATTGCTAGGGCACCCTATAGGATGGCACCGGTGGAGATGAGAGAACTGAGGGATCAGATTCAGCAGTTACTCAGCCAGGGCTTTATTTGTAGGAGTACATCACCTTGGGGAGCACCGGTTCTATTTGTGAAGAAGAAAGATGGTTCGCTTCGTCTGTATATAGATTACAGGGAGTTGAACAAGGTTACGATTCGTAACAAGTATCCTTTGCCCAGGAT